ACTTCCTGCATTGTTACCGACAAACTGCGTCATAGGATGATTCCTCAGATTACACACAAACGCACGCACAGCAGCACTGACGCGGACGTTTTTAAGCAGGGGTTGAAATAATATACTGCCGTCTCCAAAAACAGCATAGAAAGTTTAGGAAATGTTTGTGAAATTTTTAACTTTTTTTTTTTTTTTGCATTTTACACTATGACTTTTATTTTGTTGAGCAGTCAGGTTTCACGACCCAGTCTCAACTGTCTCACTGAGCACCCGAGAGCAGGGTTCCTTTTCCTTATGTCTCAGGAGACAAAGGAAATAAAAGTATGCAGCTTGAAACTGTGGTTGAGTCCTCTGCTACTCTGTTTACACTGTGTGGTGGTTTATTATGATTCAGATAGAAACACAGCCAGGAACGCTCGCTCTCCCAGAGCAGCACCGAGATTTATCAAAAACAAAACGGGATCAAAGTTCCTTCCTCTTTGCCATTTGTTTTAATTTGCTTGTTTTTGCATTTACACATCAAGTTTAGCTACACTTGTACAATTTAGGGTAATGCAGGTGCCTCATTTGTGTGCACAGGATCAGACCGATTTTTACAGGTACATTTAGAACCCACCCTAACCAGACATACAACAAACTGCCAGTGGTATAACCACAGACAAAAATATCTCTAAATTACAGACATACAAACCCCAACAGTCAAGTGCGTAATAATGAAAATATACTGTTGTTCCCGGTTTTCCATTTTTATTTGGAAGACAAGGCAAATATTTGCCAGCAATGTCAACAGAGGCTGATCAACGAAAGCTTTAATTAAAAATTAACTAACAACTACTGACTAAGTATTTTTGTATCCAAATAGTCAAAAAATATTCAGAGGAAAAAAAAGTGAAGACAGTTTTCTTGTAGTTCATATAAAGCTTTGTATCCAACTGCAGGTTACTGGCAGCAGGTTTGTGCTGGTACCCTCCTGCACGCCCTTTCTTCTTTCACATGAACCAGCAACAACTTCAATTCACCTGACAAATGTCAGCAGTGCAGCTGGGTCAAGATGACTTCAATAGAACTATTCACTCCCCGTGTCCTCTGACAGCCCAAAGTGTGCCAAGTCAGATTTTAGACGATGGAGAAGAAAAACGTTTGTGTTGTGTCTTTTATACCAGTGTCAGACCTCTGCCAAACCTCTGAGGCACAAAGAGCAGAGAAGAGGCTCCCCATCATTCAGCCAGAACTCAGATGACTGAACAAAACAGCACCGTCACATCTGTGCTAAGATGAATTACTGCTATGTTATTAAGCAAAGACAATAGAGTATTAAAGGCCCACAGCCTCAAGCTGAGAGTTTTTTTAAAGAGTCACCATGCGATGGCTTTAGGGCAGAGAGGTTTCTCTGTTTTCCACTGTTCACAGCAGAGTTAAAGGAATTTCCTGCCTGATGAAGAAAATGCCTTCAGTGGTGATGATGAACTGGAAGTGACAACAAGAAGCCAAAGAGATGTCTCGAAAGGTTGTCAAGAGGGTGTGTGTTCCCCACAACAAACTGAGAAATCTCATCAGAACCGAGGATGACAAGTTATCTCAAGTTAACACCTCGAACATGCTGTATTGGGTTTACAGGAAAAACCAGACTGTTGATACTTCTTCTGCTGCTTTTAAATTAATTTATTTCCTTCATTTAAAATACTGTCATGACACAAAATAACAACAAAAAGACAAAGACACAAAACTACAAAGATACAAAACCTTGTCAAACACACACACAAAATGTGCAAAACTGGCACAAATCAACAAAATACAAGCAAACCCCCCAAAACATTATCAAAGATGCAAAATTATTACAGAGATGCAAAACAACAAAGGCATTAATGCATTAGTGACTAATGTAACTGTCCCCCTGTTCAAATCACTGCCTGTTACACTCTTCACAAATCCAGATCTTTTACTCTCAAATAAAACAAACCCAAACACTGCAGCAGCTGCAGAGCCATTGTCTGCACCACGAGAAACAAGAGAACAGTCACCATTATAAATAGAACCACTTGGCCGCCGTTTGCATCGTCCTCTGTTGAGTGATGTAACGTACTATTCTAAAACCTAATTATTTATGTTGTTTGGCCAAGAACGCTCAAAGAAAAACAGCACACAGGAAGTGTTTATATGATAAACAAACAGAGGGACTCTGGCTCGCTGCTCACAGACACGAGGAAATCTGCTGTGTGGATCGACTGCTGGGGAATGGCAGTGATGCACAGTTTCACACCCAGCATGTAACGCTGCAAATTCAGAGATCTGTGAACTGCAAACGTCTGTTGACACATAAATCTGTCAATTCTCAACATAACACACAATCCGTCAAGCCAATTGGTGCTCTGTATCGGCATGGGAAGACGCTGCTTCGCTTCAATATGGTCTGTCAATATGCACCTTTATTGAATTTGTTACGTTTCTGTTCATATTCAAGTGTCAGCTGCTGCAGGAGAATCATTAAAGATCCACGTCATCTCATCTTAAAGTAGCCTGTTTTCTAGCCAATCTTAACACTTCAATAAAACACCAGTTGTTGTTTGAAATGCACATCTGCATTCAACATCACATGAGACAACAGCCACTGTATGACCACATGATAGCCACTCAGGGACATCAGCTGCGAACCATGCAGCCGCAACCTCCTTTGTATCTCAACACACGTTTACGAAGACAAAGACAAGCCATAATAATCTGCTGACTATCACTGAACTCAAAGGAAAAACAAACTCTTGCCATAAAACAGAAAAGATGCCCAGATGTGCCAAAGCAGCTTAGGTCTTAACATGTGTATTTATTTCATTGCAACACACAGCAGCAGTAATCAAGGCTCAAAGTGTGCGTCTCAACCTGCCGAACACAAAGCGGATCCTACATTTCAACATAAAATCAACACTAACTGCTGCACTGTATCACAAAATCCAGCATTTTGTTTAGCTGCACCACCCGCGCTTATTCTTTAGACAGAAATCAAGATGTTGTCGCAGAGAGATAACGTTTCCTTCTCCTCACCCACCACACTCCTGGAAGCACTCGCATCATTTTCTCTGGCTGTTAACATTTCTAATCATCTGTCAAAGGTGTAATTCTTGGGTGTCTGATAGATTTTGAGACACTTGTCATGAGTTTGTTTTCCTTTGTAGCAGCCAAAGACGTCACACGTGTTCAGAAACTCACTAATTAAAACACTTTAAAAAGACTTACTAGGTCTGAAAGACCCACTGTGAAGTCGCTCTATTCAAAAACAATATCTACTGCTGCAAACATGAAATTGTCTCGTCCTCAAATATAAGATGAGCCCCACTGTTTCAAACTGTCTTATATTTGGGCCAGTACAGTATATGTGAACCTGCTAACATTTATTACAATGACTGTCTGAGCCATCACTAATAGTTTGCCAATAAATTATTGATCCCATCCTCTGAACCTTGTTTGATCTTCCTTTGTTGGAAGAGTTTCCCAAAGTCAACAACTCAACAATTACTAGTTTCTAAATTTTAATAGTTCTATCACAGAAGCAAAACAATAAATGTCATGTCTTGTACTTCAAACTGAACAATATCTGTATTGATATTAGCTCCAAGGGTTGTTCTGCATATTTTCTCCTGCTTCATATCTTTATGTGAATCAGATATGAAGACATGGAGCAGGAAAAAATATCCAGAATGTAGTCACATAAACACAGTCCTAAAAGAAAATAGTGTCCAAGTGTCAAGTCTTGTACTAATTGTCCTCCTTAGCCTCTTCCATGACAACAGTTCATAACAAAGTATTCACAACTGCTCAGAGGAGTACTTTAAAGCTACTCTACCTAATTTCTTTTCAGCCTAGAGGGTCTAATGGGACTGAAAACAAACTGACGCCATTACCCACTCCTAACTGCTCTTTGATCCTCCCATTATGTCCTGTTTCCTAGCAACAATGCAACCTACGGATGCCTGGTTGGGACAAACTGTACAAAATGCAGCCTCCAGTATGAAGCTAGCGTTACCTGACTAATGAGTAAATCTGTTAAGACATCTGAATCAAATCTGAGTCCTTTGGCTACTTTTAACCCTCCATGTCAAACAGCCAAACCGATGTTAACCCTGGTTGTTGCTCTTTCTTTGTCCCACTCTCTCTGTGCTAAAGACGCCACCTCTTCACTCTGGCAGCCGCTGGTTCAGACTTTTAGCCAACCAGAGCTCCTCCATGGCTGTTTAACATGACTACTGGCAGTTTGAAAAACGCTTCTTCTAACCTCGGCTAGGTGGGAGGCACGGCTAAATTACAAACTGTAGTTTGACAACACATGGTGGAGAAGCTGGAACAACAACAGAAGGGCTATAGGCAGCAGAGGGTCATGGAGTGTCAATGAGCCATGTCCTGGCCCATTGTCACTGGGTTTATCAGACCATGTGGAAAATCTGAGTTAATGCACCTTAAAGTTACCTCTTAACTCTACATTGCAATAAAGTTGTACAGTGTGTTTTTCAAAGTAAAGACATAACTCCCACACTACATTCAAGCCAAAGCTTTGTTTGAACTTTCAGCAGCCTGAAGACATCCAACAAAGCACAGTAATACACAGTGTAAGAAGATGGCAACTGGAAACACACAGATGAGCATGAGGAGAGCCAGAAATCACAGCTGCTGAGGTCTAAACATTCAGACACAGACAGCGTACTGGCACAGCCCGACATGACCCAGTCACTGGCTGGTTTTTTTATCAATAAAAAATATTATTTGCATATCACCATGAATATTAAGCAAAATCACCAACTACCATGACAAAGACAGATAACCACCTGCTTGTATCCAAAGCTCAGTCTTTCTCAGTCCACTTCAAGTCATATGAAGGAAATAATGACACTGTTTTAAGCCTAATAACACTCCCGAGCCCAACAATATGTGCTGATGTAATTTGTGGTCAAAAGAGACAATGGAGCAAATCAACAACAGCTGACAAAAAGCACCATTTTGTAAACCAATTCAAAGAAACTCACCTTTTAAATTTTTCGGGTTGTTCTGTTTGGTGCGCGGCATCTTTCCACCTCAGTTTACAGGTGCATCTTGGAAAAAAAAAAAAAAAAATGATTGAAGTGAACTCCAGAGATCAATAAGCACCTATGTCGTCTTCCTCTGCAGCTGTCCGTGATGCGCTGCTGACTGAGTTTACTTCTCAAACAGGTGCTCCCCGGCCAGACTGTTCATTGCTGGCCTGTCCTGTCTGTACTGCTCTGTAATAATGTGACGTGCAGCTTGGCCTACTGTCTGCTGTCAGTGGGAGGAGGTGTAAATACGGTCTCCCCATATCAATATAACCTCTGCAGCAGCTGTTATCTGCCACTCTGCTCTCAAACAAAAGACAGAGATGGGGGATCGGCTGTTGCTTACAGGAAACGCCTGATCGATATGTAAGTGCCTGATATAGAGTGCCAGCGTTTCACTTTGACAACTGTCTGCAATCATGATGAATGATGTGAACAGTAAGGTCCTGTGTGCGACGGCGATGAACACTTGGAGCTGCTGGGCGCCATCAGAGCAATCTCCCTGTTGGAGTTTGATCACAGCAGAAAGTCAAAGCCATGACTGAACCCACTGCCACAGGGGGATTGTTTTCACTCTGATGCTTTTCTATAAAATGAAAGGCTAAAAGCTTAGTACAGGCTCAATGCAAATTCTGGTTTGGGAGAAGCAACATGAGGCAAAAATGTGGGTGTTTAGGTTAAATGTTACCAAGATGTCAAAGCCATAGAGCTGCAAACACTGACATGATCTGACTGGCATGCATCAGCAGAAAATCTGCACATACATGTCATATAAAAACCATATTTAAACATCTAATTTAATCATATTTATAATCTTTCTCACCCTTGCATCATCGCCACCTTGTCCCCATAACACCTCTACCCCTGCTGGAGCAGTGCACATTGCAGTAAGCAGCAGGGCTTCAGGAGGAAGCCTTTGTTTCCCCTCACAACATTACATAACACTTATTACAATTGGATGATGATTTTTTTGCCAGACAGACGTACATGTGGCACTAGAGCAATGACATCATCTCACGGTGGATTTCGGTTTAGATTCACTGTGCAAGGCTCCTGCACCAGGTTACGTAAAAACACATCCAGGTCGGATTAAAGTCACACGACAGAAACACGCAGAGATCCTCACCTGGCTCCATCAGTGATGCAGTTTCGTTTCAGTATAGGTTCGACGGTGCGGATGAGGCGGAGACGTGTACATTTCCTCTGGCGTGTCTGCTGGTCTGTGTGCGCACAGACATTTGAGGAAACACCCTGATACTGACACGGAAAAAACATACCGGTGATTCTGCGCTGTAACACTATGTTCTTAACCCAGTCCGGCTGGAATGCACTTGCAGGTGACTAATGACTTCCGATCACACCTGAGGCATTATGTAAAAGCTGAGCAGCAGCTGCGGCAATGCATGCACAATCATGCACTGACGGTATCTGAGTGTGACATAAATAGTAAGATTGTTATATATGCAAAAATATAAATACAGAGCGATGCAGGACTGCTTTGCCCACGTTGCATGGGATGTGAGCGCCGAGTTCATTCGGTGCAATTATGATAAACGCGTTTACATGGGATTTAACTAGGGGCAATGAAGTCAGCAAAAGCAGTGTGCAGGAATAGCATATTTTGTGCCTGTTGCAACACGTGAACGCCCTGTAAGTGAGGGAGGAGCCAGGGAAAACCCCTCCGAGTCTCTGCAACAGCGCTCGCCTGGGACACTTCCCCTTATCCGACAAAATAACCCTGCCGCGGCCAAACCCTCTGCTGCCACACATGCACATTTACCACCACATTAGCACTGACAGTGAACACACACACACAAATAACTGGTGGCTCACCTACGGTGCAAAACAGCAACAAAGAGCACCGGAGAGCTCAAGTTGCCTCCTCAGAGCGCGGGTTGGTGCAGAAGTCCTCACAGCAAAAACAACACTGCGCCAAAACGACCAGCTCACCTGCTCCTCCTGCCCACACTAGACTCAAAACAAGAGTCCTTAAAGTTCAGGGCAGGCAATAACAAGCGGCGGGCAGCGATACAGCATGTCCAACTCTCCCAGGTTGCAGCTATCGAGGGCGACCTATATCACAGTGACAGAAAGCCGCTCGGGCCACGGCTCTAACGTGAAATACGCAAAGGAAAGCAAAACGAGCACCCCTAAAGTGCATTTACTCATACTCACGGGTGCAGTTTTAGCTACTGTCAAGGTTGTAACACACCTTTTGGTGAAAGGAGGAGGGGGACAGCTCCGTATTTTCTCCCTTCACCTTCTCTCTCACTTTCTATTGCAGGAAACAGACAGGCCCACTGACGTCAGCGGGGGTCCCGTCTCCGCCTCCCAGCTGCAGGGTGTCCTCTCCGGGCAGCGAGGGGGCTCCCGACAGCCGTCGCCTCCGCAGGATGCAGAATCCCGACGCCGGAGTCAACATTTCAACCGTGTGTTGATCCGTGCTGGTTAAGCTGCTACCGCGTCCTCCTCTCGCGATAGGAGCGTTTCTAGTCCAACAGGTCGGCTCGTCTGTCGTGACCCCCCCTGTCGCTCTCTCCTGCACATAGTTTAGGATTGACGGTTTTCCCGGAGGTTCCTTGTTGTCAGGACACGTCGTGCCCCTTCGGCACTACCGGGCGGGCTTTCCCATGCACAAACCCGCGGCAGCGACACAAAAGGGGGTCCTTCTGCACGCCTCTGCCCGCGGTTGGAAACAAAAAGATGGTCCACTGGTGCAATTTAATTGTACATAGGCTAGCAGGGTTGTTTTGAGGGATTCGTCATTAGTATGTCCTTGACCTACTGTAGGCTATATTTCCAAGCTTTTTATTGGGTACTCCAAGTTAAAGTTAAGACTTTTGATTTATTTAACCTTTATTCTACCAAGGGAAGTCCCACTGAGGTGCACAGCTGATGTAACAATACACAAAATGATTTTGATAACACTACATAAACTTCAATTAAATACCCGCTTCAAGTCAAGTGAAGTCAAACTGTATTTATCAGCTATAGCCAAATATTATACCTGACTCTCAAAGGGGGTTTACAATACGTGCAGCATAAAACATTTGACATTTGAATCAATGAGAAAAAAACCCCCACTTTATTGGGGAAAGCCCTGATTTTATCAGTTTGTCCCAAATAGGCTTACAATCCAAGAATTTTTAAATTCCAAAGATAAATCTACTATCAAAGCCCAAGTAGGCAAAAATGGGAGTTACTGTATGCTTCCATATGCTCCTAGATCCAATTCATATTCAATCTCTGACCATGTGAATGCTGTCAGAACAGTCAGATCAGAATTCATGTAGTTTTTAATGTCTCAAAAAGCACTCGTCATCTTCATTCAGCATCAGCCCCCTCAGATCGGTAAAAATAAACATGGAGGACAGCAACAACAGCGATGAGGGTCAGTGGAGAGACAAGGATGTTCCACATTTGCTGGACATTTGTGGAGAAGATTCAGGTCAAGCCAAACTGGAAGGAACATATTATAAACAAGCCGTTTTTGAGGAAATTGTGCAATCTGATTGCTACACAAATTAGGTTGTTGTTATTCTTGTACGCACATGACTCACATTTTCAGTTAAATTTGTGCATATGGTCTTCAAAGTGGAGTTGGATACATATCACAAACATGAATTTAAACCATCTACACAAAAAGATGGGATCTGCAGAATTGAACATTTAGGCCTGTGAACATAGAGCCTTAGTTCCACTGGCCACTATACCCCTATTTGTGCCTAAAGGCAGATATAAACAATATTTGTAACATGGACCATGTACGTTTTGTCCAAAATGTAAACAGTTCTGTAGGCTAGGTCAAACTGTATAGGTGAAAACATAGTATGGTGTCAAACAGGTTTCCCCAGCTTCAACTCACATTTTCCACTGTTTTTTTTCTTAAAATGCCATTTATGCCGTTGAGATTTAAAGCACAAAAAAACCCTGCAAGCATTTTCTTTCAATGAACTTTAGAGTGAAACAAAGCCACCCCATAAAACATGTTCTCACTGCCCACGTGGTGAACTTTCTGTGAGATTGCTGAAGTCAGTAATTATTTTATTTTTTATTATATTCACTTGTATTTGTTATGTCTTTATGTCACTGGCAGCAGAAGAAAACGATTTGTCTAGTGTTGTTATTTTTATTCTGTGCCTGTATTGCTCATATAGCCACTATCAGTGTGTATGAGCTGGTGCGGGTATGACACGACGACGAGCAAAAAGGTCATGCTATTTTTGGCCATATGGTCAGAAATACCTCTCAGATAAATGCAGAAATAAACCAAAAGTTTTCACCGAGCAACCAGCTCCTTTAAAAAGAAATGCAGAGCAACAACAGTGTGGTGAAATTAAAAGTCACAGTAGAAGTACTAGGATTTTTCAATTTTAAAAATTTGTGTTGGATAGTGCAGAAACAGATGACGTAGAACAGTTTCTAAATTTTCATATCAAGCCAGTAGCTGCAGTTGCTGTAAAAACTAGCTCCGAGAAACACGCTGTTACCCAAAGAAGTTGCTGCAGGGAGGCAAATGTACCTATTAATAAGTGACTGTGTGACAGCCGCCCACCATCATATCACAGGCTTCCTGCAGACTGCAGAGAGGAACTCCTGGCTCACTCAAGCTTTATGACTCACCTGTTTCAACTGCAACAACTTAAAGTGGCACATTTCAATAGTGGAACATTTTCTTCTGCAAGAATAGGGACAAGCTGTTGTCTTTACGTTTACCTTCAGCTGAACATCGATGCAGCTTTTCAGAATCAATGGTGTGAATGATTTGACGATTGTGAAGATGAGTCAGCTCCTCTCCCTCTCTTCTTTACAATTAACATAATCTGAAATGGCAACTGTTGTCATAGAGGGTTCTCATTCTCTCTATCACACTGCTTGTTTGCATTCACTGCTGTCTGCACACCTACATTAAGAGGTTTTTCAGGGCAGCATGAAAAAGGCAAGAATGGGAAAAGGGTGTGTGTGATGTGAAAGCCCTTTTATATGACCACACTTTCCTGGTTTGAATTAATGCAATGCCAAGAGATAACA